CTCAATATTTGTCCTTTTGTGATTGACTTATTTCCCTGAGCGTATGTCCTCCAGTTTCATCCACGTTATGAGATGCTTCACAGATTCATCATTGTTCTTTATCATTGCATAATACTCCATTGTGTGTATGTACCATAGTTTGTTTATCCATTCATCTGTTGATGGGCATTTGCGAAGGCTAATCTTTTGTTGAAAAGACTTTCTTATATTGTCATCTTTGTTGAAAATCAATTGACTGTACATGTGTCAATATGTTTGGTGAAGTAGAAGGCCAATCTGATATATCAAGGTATTTGTGGTGAATAGTAAGTAGTTTGTGGGACTGGAGTGTAGAGTTCATGCAAGAATACAATAGGAGGGTGCAATTGGAAAGGTAGATAGGGGCCAGATTACAATGGGGTTCATATGTATAGATAGATAGATAGGTAGATAAATAGCTGCCATAGAGTCGACTCTGACTCTTGGAGACCTTATGTATAACAGAAGGAAAAACTGCACTATCCTGCATCATCCTCATGATTGCCGGCATGTTCAAGTCCATCACTGTAGCTATTGTGCCAATCCAAAAGGTTGGAGATTCAAGTCCATCCAGAGGTGCCTCAGAAGAAAGATCTGGCAATTTACTTCAGAAAAATAATGAGTCAGAATCACTTGATGGCAGCTGGTTTCTCACGGATAAGGGCTTAAAAACAAACACACAAACATAGCTACCATACTGTTATCACACCAGTAATGCCACAGTATCCTTTAGTACTCAGCACATATTCATGTTTTCCCAGTGTTTAAAAAATGTCTTTTTTTAGTTGGTTTCTTTGAATCCAGAGTCAAAGAAGGGCCACACATTGTATTTGGTTGATGGGTCGCTTGTCTCTTTTAATCCCTAGAAGTTCTCCCTTTTGTATCCTTTCATGCCATTAAAATTTTAAAAAATTTTTTAAAAAAGTCATACAGTAAAATTGGCTGATAAGCAATTCTATGAATGTTAACACCTGAATAGATTTGTGTAACTATTGCCAAGATCAGCATACAGAACAGTTGCATCACTCCCCAAAAGCTATCTGGTTTTAGTCATACCTTTCATGAGATTTTATTTGTTAGAAAATTGCATCATGTCTTGTAGAATTTCTCCAAATTTGAATTGGTTGACAGCACTCTTACAGAGTGACTTAGCCTGTTTTTCTTTTTCCTCTATTCTCTGTAAACTGGTAGATAAATATAGAGGTTTGATTAGATTCAGGGCCACTTTTTGGGGCAATTATTTTGTGCTGTGATTTTCCTATTGCATCGTATCAGGAGACACACAATGTCTGATTGTAC